GGGGGGGGGGGGGGGGGCTCGCCTGTGATGGCGAGGCCGCAGAGGGGCAGCGCAGGGCAGGCCATGCTGAAGCGGTCCACGGCGGTGAGGTCCACCACGTCAACCAGGCCGGCCGCCTGGCGGGCGGGAAAGTTTGAATTTCGAATCGAATTGCAGGGGAGCTTGGCGGTCAGGGATGAGTGGGGGCGTGCGGGCGGGCGAGAACAGACGGCCGCTGTTGCGGTGGCAACGGCAGGTCTGGATCCAGCTGCCCCCAGAATGCCAAGCCCTCAGACCGAACGCAGGGCGCTCGCGCGGTGCCAGGACAGACAGCCCGGGCGCCGCGCGCCGCCGGGGCGTGCGGCCCCCCAAGGGTCGGCGGGGTGCCGCACCGTGAGCGCGCGCTGGATGTCGGCCTTCCAGGCGGGCTCCACGTCCCGCAGGATGATGTTCTGGTTGGCGGTCAGGGTCACCTGTTGGGTTTTCAAATGGGGTTTGTGGGTGAAACGACGAGATCGGGTTGGACGCTAGAGCGCAAGGCGCCGCGCAGCGTGAGCTGGCTCACGGGACTCGGGGGCAGCAGCCGACCCGGCTTGGGCGCGAGGAAATCAGACGGGGTGCGCCCGCGGCCTGGGGCCCCGCTGCCAATCAGAAAACAGGCGCTCCGCCAGGAGGCCCACAAACAGACAGCCGTGGAGACAAACACGGCAATGCGATATGATCTGGCAATCGAGAACGGTGTTCATCATACAGACGAGCAGGCAGACGGACAGGCTGGCGGGCGGCTCACTGCCGGCTCAATCACGACCCTGGACCCTGGACGTTGAACCCTGGACTGGCTCTCACCGGGATGCCGTAGCTCTCGATGATGGCGCGCAGGGCCTTCTTGGGCTCCCCTTTGAGGCGGCCGTTCTGGACGTACACGCCCACAAACAGCTTGCCGTCACCCTGGGGGAAGGGGGAGGGGAGAGGGGGATGACGCGCGCCGTGTAATGTTCCCGGGTGCCTTAAGTCTCATGTTAAAATGAGGTGGCCGCGGGGGCAGTGCAGAGGGGTTGACAGGCCGGGCTCGCGCGCATGAAGGGAGCAGCGTCGCCTCGAGCAACACAAGGCGCGTGGAGGGATGGGGGGAGGGACGGATGCGGCGAGGAAGGCTGAGGGGCGTGCCTGCTCGTGCCATCCGAGGTAGTCCTCGAACTTCCAGTCTGGCAGGGGCTTGAAGGGCTCAAACTTCTTGCCCAGGTACTGCTCAGTAACAGACCTGGGGGGGGGGGAGGGGTGGGTGGTTCGGTCAACGGGGTGTAAACGACGTGGTGCAGAGGTAACAAAGCGATGGCGTGATATGACTGGCCCTTGATGGAAGAGAAGGCTGGTCGGAAAAATCAGCAAGACAAACAGGCCTGCAAAGGTGCCCTCGTGCTGGATGGTACACCTGGGCGTGCAGGCCGCCGACGGACTGTCCTCAGCAGGGGCCGCGCGCCTCAAACCCCCCTTCACCCCCCCACCACCCACCTGAACTTGTCGATGCCCCACTCCTGCACCAGGTACTTGAGCCGCGCCTGGTTGCGCGCGTCACGCCTGCCGTAGTCACGCTGCGCGGACGGGGGTGGTGGGCGTGGGGGTGAGGGCGGGCTGGCCGTGCACACGGGCGGGGTGTGTGTGTGCGTGGA